GCCGCGCTTTCCTATCTGTCTGCCTGAGCGCATGCCCGCCCAACTTCTTGGGCAAAAGTCCAGCAGTCTTTGAAGGGGTCTGAGGTTAAAGAGGACGGATTTCTGGGGGGTGGACTAGTACAGTTGCTGGTGGTAGGGGAGGGGGAAGGGGGGGGAAGGGAATCGCATAAAAGAATGACGTCGCAGCCTCGGCGTGCCGTCGTCCATCCGAAGGAATCGGTCATCAATGCGAGACAGATGCGGTTAAGGAAAACTTGACAGTGTGCCGTTTGTGTCTTTTCCCTCCCCCCAACGGGATTTACGGCGTTCGCGTGGTTCAAAACGCTTACGCCTCAGGGACTCCCGGGCCTGTGCTCTCTCTCACTCTGCGTGTGTATTTACAATCGGTTTGTTTGTGTGCCTCTTTTTCTTTCAAGAGAGATGGAACGGCCGATGGATTGGTGGAGAGAGGAGAGATTAAAAGAGAAAGAGCGAGAGAGAGAAAGGCAGAAGGAGGCGTTATTGTCTTACCCGCCTCCGAAGCCATACATACACGGAGACACCATCCCCTTTTTCCAAGTTCTCGTTCCAAGTTCTGACGTTGCTTACCTACCTACGAACACACCTGTGGTGCCGCGTACCTAGCCTAGGTAGCGGTGCCTGCAACCGTGACGGAGGCTATGTTCGAGACGCGTTGCGAACGCCACGAAGGCGTTCATGGGGTTTCCCTGGGGAACCTGGAAGATTTGAGGCGGGGAGCGCAAAGGATGTCAAAGTACGTGAGTAATGGAGGTAGATAAGGGGGGTTCGAGAGGAATAATGGAAAATCCGGATGTGGTTCAGGCTTCGAGGGATCTGGGGAGTTTATTACTTGGGGGAAGAGTCGCTTTTGTACTAATGTGAGGTATGGCATTAGGTTCTCTGGGCGTACGGTCCAGGGACCTTCTGCAGCCCACCATCTTCACCTCATCCACGGACCACAACTTGGGACGCTGAAAATGATGAAATAAACGAGCACCTAATATCGCACTTTTGCGATTGGACGTTTTCTCTCTCTCGCTCTCGAGGTGGGTGTCCCACCACCCCGACGTGCCCATCCTTAACGGGAGACCCCACCTCCCGGGAAGAGATCGGATACCGTGTAGTTACATATCCGGGCTCCATGATCCCCACCGCGCGCCGGCGGCCAGGAACGATGCACCACCGACCCCGCATTGCCCGCCATATTACGGTCTACCTCTACCTTACTACTGGCATCCTGGAGAAAGCCCGGCGCACCGCATCCAGGCATTTTAGTCTAATGCATTCGTTGACAATTTATTTCCTCACTCAGTCTACACTACCGGCATCGGCGGGGTTCTTCGCACTCTTTTCGGACGATAGATGCCCGTTATCGACTGGCTGAGGAAGCTCTCCTGCAACCCCCACATCAGACTTTCCCCGCCGGACGTTCTCCGCTGGGTTTACTGAATGCCACAAGGTGACAAAAGTCATCACCTTTAATCCTGGATTTTCCTGGTGACAGCCCGGATCTGATTACCGTGTCCCACCATGTACGTAAAGCAAGCTCATAACTTTGGGGTTATCGAGTAGGGTGAATATCAGCAGATGCAATGCCCATTGGCCAATAATGAACAAGCAATAGGCGGGATTCATTGCAAGTATAAGATCCATTATGTATATCCCCCGAATACACGTGGAGCGAGCTGTCGGTCTAGCCATTCGAATCAGACAACCACAAAGGGCGCGTGCGCGCGCAAACCCGCGCCGGGCCGGTCGAGGTGTGTGACCCGTTCTGAACGCTTCCGGTCCTCGATATACCTTGGCCCGGTTTCCCTCGTTTTAAAAGGAGTTGCTTCTTTCCTTTCTGATAGACTTGCCCTGAATTGAGGATTCTCTCATCCTTGCTATTCTCATCATCACCTAACAACCCCTCTCACGACCGTTCTTACTTTGTGATTGTCACAACGACTCGGTGCAGGAAACATCACAGGGGGAAACAGAACAACAACGAGACCTAGCCGTCATGAAGTTGACGTCTCTCCTGCTGGGCTGCTCGTCAGCCCTGCTGGCCGCCGCGTGCGGCAACCACGGCGACGAGAAAGAGTGGACCAAGGCCGAGCTGGATGAGTTGGAGGCTAAATGGGGTTTCGAGGTACGTCGGATGGATGTCTTCACAAGTCATTGACTTGCTGTTTGGTGATGAGATGAGATGAGATGAGACGAGAGAATGGAGGGCTAACTTGATATTTGTTCAGTGGGGTTAGTACCAGTCACCGCAGAGGAGAGTAAATGGGTTATGAGAGGAGAACATTGAGGGGCTCACGATGTTGATTTAGGATTCACGGGCATCGGCTCTTTCGCTCATCTTAAGCACGTCAAGTGCCTGACGACGCCGTCCGAGCTGTACGATATCGCCATCATCGGCGCGCCGTTTGACACGGCTGTCAGCTATAGGCCAGGTGAGCAGGAAACATGTTCCCCCCTGCACATCTTACACCTCACCAACTCACAATCGCTGCTACTGCCAACAAGGTACTGACTGAATTTCAAAAGGCGCCCGCTTCGGCCCCCGCGCCATCCGCCAGGCCTCGAGCAGACAGACGTCGTTCCGCGGCTTCAACCCGCGCGCGAGTATCAACCCGTACGCCAACTGGGCCACGATCCTCGACTGCGGCGACATACCCGTCACGCCCATGGACAACGTCATCGCCGTGGAGCAGATGTCGGCCGCCTTCAAGGAGCTGGGTCAGCGCAGGCCCGTGTCGAGCTCGCTGAGCAGGCCGAAGCTCATCACCCTCGGCGGCGACCACAGTCTCGCGCTGCCCGCGCTGAGGGCACTTAGGGAGGCATACGGAGCGCCGTTGAGGGTGTTGCATTTTGACGGTGAGTTTTTTCGTGTCCCTGTTGAGGTGGAGCGAGACGGGCAGACGGAGCGAAGGAATGGGATCACGTCACAGATGCTTGAGAAAGAATGGTATGGCTGACGTATATCACGAAATACACAGCTCACCTGGACACCTGGCACCCGGCAAAGTACCCCTCCTACTGGACCGCAACGCAATTCAACCACGGCTCCATGTTCTGGATGGCCGGCAACGAAGGCCTCCTCTCCAACGCCTCAAGCCAGCCTTCGGTCCACGCGGGCCTGCGCACCCGCCTCTCCGGCACCGACTTCACCGACCACGACGACGACACGGCGCAGAACTGGGTGCGCATCGCCGCCGACGACATTGACGAGATTGGCACCGCGGGTATCGTCAAATCCATCATGGAGACGCTGGGCACCGAGGACCCCGTGTACCTGTCCATCGATATCGACGTGCTGGACCCGGCGTTCGCGCCTGGTACGGGCACGCCTGAGCCCGGTGGCTGGACGACGCGCGAGCTGATTCGGATTCTGAGGGGCATCGAGGGGTTGAATTTGGTGGGTGCCGATGTTGTGGAGGTGAGCCCTGCGTATCAGAATGCCGGGGAGGAGACGGCGTTGGCGGCGGCGCAGGTTGTTTATGAGGTTCTCAGCTCGATGGTGAAGAAGGGGCTTGAGGGGATGGGGAAGGAGGGCAAGGCTGCTGCTGCTGTTGTAGATGAGAAGGATGAGTTGTGAGTTGGTTGATTCGGATGAGATGGAGTTTGGCATTTGAAAAGGGAGTTGAGAAGGGGGGGGGGGGGTGTGGTTCGTTCGCTGATAAGATGCAGAACGCAGGTCTCTGGATGTCAGGAAGAGAAGTGGAATGAGCAGGAGGACTTGTTAAACTCTGGCATGTTCACCGGAACGGCAGCAGCTCGAGTTGGGTATTATGGACCTGCATAAGACGCTGGGTTTCTTAGGGCGACTTGTCACGTCAGCCATCCTTATACGAAGAATGACAAGAATGAGTAAATGAAATAGACAAAAGTCATTGACGATACACCATACGAGTTGGCACCAGCTGGGACTCCCACGAGTGATTCATACTCTGTAAGTAAATCTCAATAGGTGCATTGTGAAGCTTCCCGATATCAAGATTCCCCTTTCCCGAATCTCATCCCCAGCCTGAGGTAATCTCGACTTATAACAGTTGCGGACAATCTAAAGCTTTCCTCACAAATAATGTATCGTACGCAGTAGTATAGTGTACCGCTCATTCTGCACCCTCTACGCTTGAACCAAAATAACGAGACTTTATTCAGTTCACTGTTTCCAGCATTCTCACCGCCACCCCAAGGTGAGTACGCAAACCGCCTCACCGTCGCTTTGTCCTTCAGATGCCCGAGTCAAGGGGGGATAGACCCAGCAGATGTACCTAGATACGGTTACGCACCCGCCTACCTTCCTATCTTCGGAGCAAAGTTGGGCGAGACCCAACCTCATCCTCAGCAAATGCCAAACGGGCGGGCGCTCATAAAAGAAAGAGGGCCCCCGTAACGTAAGGCCCGAGCTCCCTTATCTCTGAGCAATTACAACGCTCAATTGGGAATTGGGCAGGGTAATGTCTTTTGAAAAGCACCTCAGTTCCCGGTGTCCCTCCACTGGGCGCCCGGCGGTGATCTCAGGGAGCAAAGGTATCAAGGGGGTAGGTGTAATTGCACTGTAACAAACCCCAGACACTGGAAAGCCAACAGAGGTGACTCACACAGCTTCGAGCAACATGTCAGGTCAGGTCCGGATAGTCTGTGTTAGATAAAAAAGGGTTCTGCCTTTGACCGAACCCAATTGCACGACTTTCTCCTGTAATACCAATTCCTGATTCTTTTCTCTCTCTCTCCCAATTGTTGTTGGCTTTGCGGTTGCAAGTGACTCACGCAGCATAGTCACAAAAAAGATACCCGACGCTGTACATCAGACCAGGTCACCCTCTCCCCTCACCCCTCCGTCCCTCCCACCAACTCAATCCGAATAATTTACCCCGCCATCCAGAAACCATCCCAAAAATTTCCTAAAACTTCGACTGCACACAAACAACCGGCTTTTGAGTCAATAGTCGACGGACGCAACTCCTTTCTCTCCCTAGACGTCAAAGAATCCTCGACCACACACCATGGCCGCCCCACAGGAGTTGGCTGAGCGTCCCAAGACGGAGGACAAGGTCTACATCGACATCGACGTCGGCGCCGACGAGCCCTCGACCCAGGGCACCGAGTCCTCCCCCTTCAAGTCCCTCGCCGCCGCCTACATCGCCAACAACGAGTCCGTCACATCGCGTCACTTCCTCACCCGCGCCTCCAAGACGGGTGACGACGAGGCCGCTCGCCTCGAGTGGAAGGAGCCTGCAAAGAGCGCCGTGAAAAAGGCCCAGTCCGCCCTCGACGCCCACCGCAAGAAGCTCGTCAAGCAGGCCCAGATCGAGGCCAAGGAGGAGGAGCAGAAGAAGGCCCGCCAGCAGGCCCTCGAGGCTGCCAAGCAGATCGTCATCAAGGAGGACGAGTCCCTTCCCGAGGCGAAGCGCATCACCATCGCCGACAAGACCGTCGTGCTGGGCGAGGGCGATACGAAGGGCGACCGCGTCAAGATTGCCGGCCGCATTCACAGGCTGCGCGCCCAGAAGCAGGCCACCTTCATCACCCTCGTCGACGGCTACGGACACCTCCAGTGCGTGCTCCAGGCCGGCGACCTCACAAAGACGTACGACGCCCTTACCTTTGCCCAGGGAACCTCCCTTTGGGTCTATGGCGAGCTCAAGAAGGTCCCTGAGGGCCAAACCGCCCCGGATAACCGTGAACTTCACGTCGACTACTACAAGGTCATTGGCACGTCGCCCACGGACGAAGATGCCATCACCAACAAGGTCTCGCTGCTGCAGAACCAGTGGGACTCCCAGATGCTGGACAACCGCCACCTGGTTCTCCGCGGTGACAACGCCTCCGCGATCATGAAGATCCGCGCCGCCGTCGAGTGGGCCTTCACCAAGACCTACAAGGACCTCAAGATCACAAAGGTCTCTCCCCCGGCCCTGGTCCAGACCCAGGTCGAGGGCGGTTCCACGCTCTTCTCCGTCCCCTACTACGACGAGGCTGCCTACCTCACCCAGTCCTCCCAGCTGTATCTCGAGACCGTCCTCCCCAGCTTGGGAAGCGTCTACTGCATCGAAAAGTCCTTCCGTGCGGAGCGCAGCTTGACCCGCAGACATTTGTCCGAGTACACTCATGTCGAGGCGGAGCTCGACTTCATCGAGTTTCCCGACCTGCTCGCCCATCTCGAGGAGGTCATGTGCCGCGTCATCGACAATGTCCTCGCCGACGAGGAAATCGCCGCCTACGTCAAGGAGCTCAACCCCGACTTTAAGAAGCCCGTCCGCCCCTTCCTGCGCATGAAGTACACCGACGCCATCGACTGGCTCAACGCCCAAGACCCCCCCATCCTCAACGAGGACGGCGAGACCCACAAGTTTGGCGACGACATTGCCGAGGCCGCCGAGCGCAGGATGACCGACATCATCAACAAGCCCATCTTCCTCACCCACTTCCCCACAGAGATTAAGGCCTTCTACATGAAGAAGGACCCCAACGACCCGCGCGTCACCGAGAGCGTCGACTGCCTGATGCCCGGTGTCGGAGAGATTGTTGGTGGTTCCATGAGAATGGAGGGCTACGACGAGCTCCTCGCCGCCTACGACAGAGAGGGAATCCCGTCAAAGGACTACTACTGGTACACTGACCAGAGAAAGTGAGTTTACTTTTTTTTCTTTCCCCCCCCTCTCGAAGCTGTTGTATAGACCAAAAAGGACAACGATTGCTAACAACACTGCTTTAGGTACGGAACCTCCCCCCACGGCGGCTACGGTCTCGGCCTCGAGCGCTTCCTGGCCTGGTTGGCCAACCAGCACACCGTCCGTACGACATGCTTGTACCCCCGCTACATGGGACGTTGCAAGCCTTAGAGAAATAGCCAGTGTGTGTGGTCCGGTGTTGAAGAGGAAGAAAGATATAGATACGAGAGAGATGAGAGGAACGAAACAGGGGAAGAAAGGGAAAAGGAAAATCGGCCCGGCGTGCTTCAAAAAAAGCGCTGCGGCAGAGGTATGAGCGAGATCAATCAGGTTTCCGAAGGGAGGGGCTTTCCAAATGGTTTTTTGACAGCGGTTTGCTGCAAAAGGGTAACCAGAGACGGTGTCGGTGGGCTTAGATAGGAGTTTTACGGAATATCACAACCACAATCTCCATCGGAGCGCTGAAACTCCAGTGAGAAAGAAGACAACAAAAACGATTGAGCTATCCACCGCAGTGATTCAAGCAAGTGGGCAGAGATTGTGACCCAGACGATTTGAAGTCTCCCAATCTTCCAACGAGGGTGAGAAGGCAGTCACCTCAGCCGTGTTGCTCTGCGTTTATTACGTCCCAACATTCAGCAAATCGCGTCCCCTGACCGACGACGACGGCGTAGCCTTTCCCCATCCAGGGGTCCATGCCCTCCACGAGGTGGGAGCCCGAAAAAAAAAGAAGCTGTCAAAAGTCGAAGCCAAAGTCGCGAGACGCAGCGAGCCTAGGCCGAACCTAACACGAACTGCCGGTAGGAAGTGTCAGACACGAACTCTCTCTCTCCTATTTCTCTCTTCACCTAATGTTCGATGGTGTGTGTAAGAGTCTTGAATCATTGCCAGACCGAGGCCCCGGCTCCGAACGGGATGGTGCGCGCCGCAATGGTCGACAATTGGGGGGTCGGGACTTCTTGTGATCCGTGTTCGTCGCGAGCTTGCGAAGCGGGCTGGTGAAAAGTCCGGACATGGGTCAAAGAGCCTTTGCAGCTCGTGCTTGCTCGGCCGATCTTGCGTTTGAAGCCACCACACATCAGACCTCCTTCTCGAAGGTCTCGATGCTCTCCCGTCTCAAAAGGAATGTCGGGCGGCGAAGAGTAGTGGTTACAGGCTATCTGTAATTCAGATCATGTCTGTGCAGGTAGGGTCGTGCCGGGGAGCCGAGCGTTTGACCGTGAGTAGTAGGGAGAGGTGTAGGTGGCCCAATAAGACATCGTGATAACCTCGCGTGTCTCCCAACTCATCTGGCCTGCATCAAAGGTCCCAGAGCCTTGAACAGTCGAGAAGAACTCGTTTACCTTTCTGGAATGTCTGACGCCCGATTATCGAACCCGACCCAGAGTGATGTAGCCCAAAGCGGCGGCTCAACCGTCGTGCATGGAAACATCAATCTACCGTTGCAGCTGCAGTCGAATACGCAGATCGCGTACGCATTGACAAGTTCTGGCGATCGATCGCCCCGACTTGTGTATTGAGGTGACGGTCAGCAACATCAACAGGCAAGTGAAGACTACAGAATCGAGCACGAAGATACTTGCTGAGCAACATCTCAGTCAGCTCCTGTAAACAATAGGAGATCAGGCGCCCTTAGATGAGGCTCTGGCCTGTGGTTGTCAGTACTGGTTGGTTGCGTAGACATGACTAGTTGGTCGGGAAAGGAGGCCTGCAGCGTAGTATTTAGAGAGGCTAATTGCGAAGCTTAAACCTCGAGCCTTGCAGACACCACAGCAATAGTCGCTGCACACGAAGAGTTTCTAGGGCTCATGCCGGACCAAGGCACCAATCAGCTCTACGCTACTGAGTATTGAATAACGATGCTGCGATCGGCGCCCATATTCTTGACTCGAGGACAGTCTTGAGGCCAGCCCCGTCCTAATGTTCCAAAGACGAGGCGCGTATCCTGTATAAAGGAATGGATTTTCGGGAGAATGTGATCCAGGGAATCGTCGACACTCCACAGGATACAGGTAAGAAAGACAGTTGTGTGGTCTGTTGATGATCCGATGTCAGAATTAATTGGATCAGAAACGACTTGATGCAAGGCGGATCTAACGCGGCGCTGCGGATCCTGCTTGCAGCTGGCTACCGGCTCAAACTTCCATCTAGGGGGCACGGCCGTTGCACTCGGGATTCTGGACCGGCGGCAATGAACTGCCTTGGTGCCATGCAGAACGAATACATGTCGGGGCTATGTAAGGCACAACCACGAGCGACAAGCCTTTACCAACCACTTCCGTCTTTTTTTCCTTTGGATCCGGTCGGCAAGGCGTGGAGCGTAAAGTTGTGTTTGAGAAGTGCGAGGGAGCATCGATAAAAGTTGTGCGTGTTCCGTCAACAGAGTTCACTGAATGGCTCAGGGAGACTACAACGATTGAGACGGAAAGTTGATTTATGGATCGGGCTGATCCCGAGGGCAAGGTTTCCAGCCATGATGACTTGTGGGCGAGGTAGGTCAAAGATAAAACGCATCAGGTAGCGGTGAGCTCGGAAGTCTTTTGAACGGTCAGAGATGGCGATCGTGTGCCATTGTGGCCAGCCAAAGGATGCAGTGCTCGACTGCCCCTGGGCAATGCTTGGTGCCAAGCAGTTTCGAGGTTTGTATCCATATCGTGTATTCAAACTTGACTCTGCCCGTCGTTTCTCTCGTTGCCGGTCCAGGCCAGGCTGGCCACGGATGGCAGACACAATCGAAAAGCTGAGCCACCAGAGACGGAGCCAGGCTGATTGACAAGTTTGAGGTCACGAGCTTCTACTCCGTACTTGATTGTCCCAAAGCTTCTGTGACAGTCTGGGGTTATTTTCGACGAACCTAGGCTCCCTGCGGCAGCGTTTCATCCGAATAGCTGGAGAGATGTGGAGGTTAGGGGGTTCGATATTGGAACACGGATGCAGCAACCACAATTGCAAGGAGTAAAAGCGGTTGCAAGGTCGAAGGAGGAGGCTATTCCGACGACAAAGCTGCTGGCGATTCGTATTCCTGTGCACCATTGTATCATATTAGAAGTGTCCGTTCAGGGTATCCGTAAGGGCCGAGGAATGCTGTTCCTTGCATAGTGCAAAGCCACTAGCTAACACTTGTGCAAGGTACAGCGAAAAGTGTCCGTAGTTGGAGGCTCTACTTTAGTCTGCGAAACCCGTCGTACCGTGGGGAAGCAGGCTCTGCGTGTGATTAGTAGACTGTATCCATAGTGTACCCGTATCCATAGAGCAATGTTGGGTCTGGCACGGCGACGAGTTTTGGCAATATGTAACGTGGAGTCGGATAATGCTGTGCGAGCCTCGTAAGAGATGGAGAACCGAGAGCGTGATGGGCAAGGCGAACATCCAAGAGTGTGGTGGAAGAGATTGAGATGCAGCTGATGCAATTTCAATTCTTCATCAGAGTCGATGCAAGACAGGGCCTATGGGGGGCGGCTTGGGCTAAGGGGGGACACATCCAATATGGGGAATCCGAACGAGCGAAAGAACGAACGACAGCTGGACAGCATGCCGCGCAGCCGCATGCCTGACGCTCCAGGAAGTCAAATACTGTCAGACCCATGTCTTGTATTCGTACGAAGTACCCTTTCCCAGAATCAGAAAGCAGAACGCTGTATCGCCATAGCTGATGAGTACCGTAGTCGGTATATCTGAAGGCAACTGTCTATGGCCATGATGAATAGAATACCAACTGCCGTCTATCAATACTGGGGGAAATCGTGGAGGGCAAGAATGTCTAGAACGCCACTTTTCTGTTGCATTATACCATCGAGGGACGAAGTCGGCCCAGCTTGTAGTAATAGAGTAAGATACAAAACGGTCAAGCTATGAATACAACTTCTCACTGCGTAAGTAGGTAGTGTGCAGGTACCTGCTAACCATGACCCCAGCAACGGAAAGCGAAGAAAAGGGGTGGAGCCACGTGAGCCAGCCTGCTTGAGGTTGAGAACAGTGAACAGTGAACTCTGGCAAGTTTGGGTGTGACGGTGTCTGGCTGCTGTTGCTGGCAAAGGCGGCTGCCAGTTCCATGATCCATCGGCTTGGGGTGGAGGAAGAGAACAAGATGAACCCTTGGAGGTTTGGAGGATGGATCGGGGAGGCTGTTCAGAAGGGGACAGACCAAGCCTGAAAGGATGGTGCCTTCCCCTGGCTATGCTTGTCGGCCAGGTGGGAGGCAAGGGGAAAAGTAGGGATGGGAGGCTGGAAGGGGCCAGGTGGAGGGGGATAGGAAGGTCCATGTTCCAGGGGGCCACCCGCACGGAGCGAGGAGCTTCGCGGCAATGTACCGTCAAAGTAGCGTATCAAAGTGCCATGTCGGGTGCGGCGCGGTGTCTTCGGTTAGACCAGGGGAAACAGAGTATGTACCTCGCAGGCTCGCCATGTAGTGTGAGAAAGGGTCGGGAATCTGCGCGAAGAAACCCCCCCCCATATAGTTGGAATGCAATATCCGCATCTTGGCTGCGCAAAAGCACAAAATCTCCGTCCAGATCGGAAGCTCACGGTATTATGTATTCCAGGACAGTACGACGTACGGATATACTGATGCCATCGGGAATGGGATCAACTCTGTTCAGAGCAAGATTCTTTGGAATGTCCGTTTGTTTGCCCAGATGTCAAAGTAAAAGTCTACGACCGGAGCTCAAATGTTTGAACTGCGACAAGTTCACGAGGCTCTGGTTGCGGCCTGGCTCCGACTCCGAGCATCGAGAATGGGGGACCAGACCGAGGGGTAATCCGAGGGATGGGGGGCCAAAAAGGGGACCAAACAGGGGGGAGATGAAAGCTGCTCATGTGGATAAGGACGACTACTGCGTAAGAAATCGAGGCGTCGTATGGCTGGTGACATCGGACGGGTGGGCGGAGAACGGGTGTAGGCAGTATGGAGATGTATCCGGGCTGGCGGTTGGCTGGTTTGTTGAAAAGAAGTGTTGATGACCAAATGGAAAAGGCTGATGATTATCCGTGTTATGTGAATGAGTGTTCAGTGCTGTTCCATTTTGCAGCGCTCGCAATATCAACTCAATCAGCCAAGACGAGACTGGCACGGCATCCCGTACCAGTCATAGCTGAGTCGATATAACTATGACTTGTCTCGCCCCAAGAGTGTGAACCAGCGAGCGAGCGAGCGAATGGGAGAGTGAGCATGT